CTGGTACAGATAGGAACTGGAAACACAGAGAATCCAGGGCGGATGATCCCTACAGGACCAGTGGTGTGAAAAATGTGTAGTACCAGAAAAATGTGTACTACGAGAGCTCCTCCTAATGCAGCTGTGTAATCCCCTTTTTTGGGTACTCCCTTGTATGTCTGTCTCCGAAATAGCCACATTTCCCATGAAGTGCAGTTTGCCTGAGTATGGGGCTGAGAAGACTAGAAGGAACTGGTAGAGAGTAGTGAGGGGGCTTGCTGTGGATACCAGATTACCAGCAGATCTTACGAGTCTGACTAATGTCAGCTTCCGTTCAGAAAAGACTGTTGTTTCCATCAAGTGACTGCTCTTCCGTCCTGGACACCAGGTCTCCCCAGCTCAGCCCACCCCAAGTACTGGGGGTAGGCGGCGACGCACAGCGGATGAAGATCCAGACGAGCGGAGACAGCGATTTCTGGAGCGCAACCGGGCTGCAGCCTCCCGTTGCCGCCAAAAGCGGAAGCTCTGGGTGTCCTCCCTAGAGAAGAAGGCAGAAGAACTCACTTCCCAGAACATTCAGCTGAGTGTGAGTGGGCCCTGAGGGACGCGGGGGATTGTTGGGTCTGCAAAGTAGGGTTTTCCTTTAAGTGGCACATTACACGGCAGAACTGCATACGGTGGTGGTTCTGTAATTAGAGCAGACCCAGAAGTGCAGAGGGAACCCTAACAGTCAGGCTTGAAATCTCTTCCCTAGAAGAGAGACACGCCCATCGACTCCAAGTGCTCCTGGACCGAGCCTCTGTAGTCCCTTTAGGGACCTGCTTTCAGTCCCCATGGTGCTCTCTTATCATCAGTTGTATCTGACTGGACTATGAGCACTGGGAGGGCAATGTATTTGCCCCAGTTAATGCAGCTAATGTCCTAGCTGTACGGGAACTACTGTAGCTTTATTCCCAGGTCTTAAAGGATCCTCTTCTCACTGAGTCTTAAAAATATATACGAGAAAACCACTGTAGTAGACCAAGAATCATCCAAACATTCTTTTGAATGTTTTTCCTTCTATTGATTATTTGTTAAAATGTATAATTACAAAGGACTTACATGAAACATATGCCTGGTGTTAAAATATAAATAGTTTATATGAAGGCTTGAAGGTAATCAATCGACCATCAAGCTCGGAAGCAACAAAGCCCACATGGAAGAAGCACACCAGCCTATATGCAACCACGAGGTGTCGAAGGGATCAGGTATAAGGCATCATCAGAA